AATAATTTTGTAAATATATGTCAGTTTGACCACTAGGCCTTAAGAATTGTTTAACTGCTTTCAAGGAAAACTCTCCAGTAGCTTTAGGTTGCCATATGGCTTTATCTGGAAATGGAGAACCAAACAAAGACAAGTCCACTTGGAAATGTATAAAGAAACCTGGGTCCATAAGTTGTTGAAGTTGAGCCAGGTCCAATGCTTTGTTCACAACATAGTTTTTCAAAGGAAAGAGCCAATATTTCCCCCATGCTTGATTGGTGATCACAGCAAGTGACCCAAGGCCAGTCCAATTATCCCACCAAAAGCTTAAAGACCCATCATAAATTTTCCAAAGGATTTGTGGTTCAATCAAAGGTCTAATCTGCACCATTCTTTTCCAGATATGAGAATCCCCATGTTGCCAAGTCTTAGCCACTGGATGCACTCTCTGGCAATACTTTGCTTTCATAAACTGTACCCAAGTTGTATTAGTAGTTCTAAAGTTCCACCAAAGCTTAGCACTACAAGCTTGCACTATGTCTTTCATTCTAGTAAAACCCAGGACACCATCTGTAGTGTTATAGCTCATGTGATCCCAGGAACTCCAATGATAATGAAGTTTATGTTCAGCTTGTCCCCAGAAAAAATTAGAGAAACTTTGTTCCATTTTAGCCAAAACACCCTTGGGAGGTTCCACAGCAGAGAAAAGGTGGGCAGGTAGAGCTTGTAGGACACTTTTAATCAAAACTTGCTTACCTCCAAAGGAAAGCAACCTCCCTTGCCATCCTTGACATTTCCGTGTCACTCTATTCAGCAGGTTGACAAAATAACAACATTTCATTCTTCCTTTGTAAATGGGGCACCCTAAATAATAGAAAGGAAAGGCCTGGTGCTGGACTTGAATCAGGTCTGCAACTCTTTGAGTGGTCATAACAGCACTTTTTGGATGCATATAAAAGGAACTCTTATGAGTACTTATCAGTTGACCAGAGATGTGTTCATATAAATGAAGCTCCTTCATAATTTTAAGTATAGAATTCATCCTCCCAGAAGTAAAAATGATCATATCATCTGCAAAAGCTAAATGACTAATGGGATGGAGTTTCTTGGGTTGTGTAAAATGAATGATGTCTTTACACTGACTCCTTTGGTTGAGAATTTGGGAAAGAAACTCAGCTGTAATAATGAACAGGCTAGGGGAAAGGGGGTCCCATTGTCTCAAACCCCTAGAGGATGTGAAGAAACCTTCCCTGTGACCATTAATGAGGACAGTATACCATATGTTGGAGAGCATTCTAAAAACCATATCAATCCATTGTTCACAGAACCCCAGCTGCCTTTGGATTTTAATTAAGAAGGACCATGAAACCCTGTCATATGCTTTGGCCATATCCAATTTTAACACAATATCCCTATTACCAAGTTGCATCCCATGACATAACTCTTGAGTGATAAGAATATTTTCAGATATAGATCGCCCTTGAATAAACCCAGATTGTGATGAAGATATCACATGAGGAAGTATTCCAGCAAGCCTAGAAGCCATTACCTTAGAAATGATTTTGCTGCTGAAGTTACATAGACTAATGGGTCTAAAGTCAGCAAATGTGTTAGGGCTGTCCACTTTTGGAAGTAGGACAATGGCAGTGTGAGCTATCCCTTTAGTCATGTAATCCCCTTTGAAGAAACCACAAACCATAGCAAAAATCTCCAAGTGTATAATGTCCCAGCATTTTTGGAAGAAATGGCCAGTGAAGCCATCCGGACCTGCAGCACTGTTAGGGTTTAAAGAGAACACTGCATCCTTTACCTCTTCCAAGGAAGGAGAGGCCACAAGCTGTTGATTGTCTTCATCAGTGATCCTGGGAGAGATACAGGCTAAAGAAGAATAATCAATTGTGCCTCTTGATTCCTCAGAAAAGAGCTTTTGAAAGAAATCAATAGCCTAGCTAGAAATCTGTTGATGATCCTCAATCCAATGGCCATCCTGCCCTTAGATTTTATGTATGTAGAGCTTCCTTCTTCTGTCCTTGACCAAAGATTGAAAATACTTGGAATTTCTGTCCCCTCCTTCAATCCATTGGATATGAGCTTTTTGTTTCCAAAACATTTCCTCAAGGTGCAACTGATGAGTATATTGAGCTGTAATAGCTTTTAGCTTGAGCAGATTCTCATCACTGTTTTCCTGTTGGTATACTTCCTCAGCCTGTTGTACATTTGCCTCAAGTTCCTCCAGTTTAAGAAATATATTCCCAAAGACCTCTTTATTCCATTTACTCAAAGCCAACATAGTAGCTTTAAGTTTGGCATAGAGTTGAAACATGGGTGGGCCTGTCACATTAACTCCCCAAGCTTTCTGAACAATTTGATGGAAATCATCATGTGTTGTCCAGGCATTAAGGAAGGAGAAATGTTTAGGAGCATTAGAAGTGGTGTGTATAGTGACAGAGATATGAAGAGGGGCATGGTCAAAAGAAGTCAAAGAAAGTGCTTGAACTTTAGTTTTAAAAGTATCTGCCCAAGCTTGATTCACAAGCAACCTGTCCAGCTTTTTCCAAATGGATTGGGTCTTCTTTCTACCATTCCACCAGGTGAAAGTATTTCCATAAGTAGCCACCTCCAGGAGACCACAATCCATGATGCATTGTTGAAAATCCCAACTAGCAGAAAGAGACATGGGTAATCCACCAAGCTTTTCTTCGGGACGTAAACTACAATTAAAATCTCCAACCACAGCCCAGGGAGTAGCATTGTCATGAGACTGAGCAAACTGAACTAATGAATTCCAGAGGTCCTTCCTAAGCCAACTTTTTGTTTTTGCATAGACAAATGCAATAACACTATTTCTGCAGCTAGAAAGCTGAGTAGCTTTCACAAAGACTACTTGGTCTTCATTAGTTAACAGATCAATGGAGTAGGTATCCTTCCAGAATATCCAGATTTTGCCTTGACATCCAACAAGGTGATGTATAAAACCAATCTTTTTTCCAGTGGAAGCACAGAATTCTGCATCTCTAAAAGGCTCAATAATGCAGACTATATGAGGATGAAGCTTTTGAACCAGATGGTGTAATCTATCGAGTGATCCTCTGGAGGAGATCCCTCTTACATTCCACACAAGTGTGGAATCCATTAATGAGCTGTTTTGGGAGGGGGGAAGTTCTGGTCTTTCCAGATTTCTTCCGAGTAGGTGGCTTAGGGGGTTTAGTTTTGGAGGCTCCTTTCCTTGTATTGGCAGCTGGAGTTTCAGTTGGAATTTCAGTTATGTTGTTCTTAGATTTATCTTCAGACATGGGTGAAGAAAAGAAATCCTCATCTCCAATAGGGCTAGCATATCCCTCATCAGACCATACTTCTTCAATATCATCCTCACCTGATATGGGGCCAGGATCCAGTTCTGCAAGAGGAACACCTTTATTTAAGGGGATAGTATTTGCTGAAGAATTCATGCCACAAGTCTGATCAGGGTCAGCAATAGGCAGAATTGGAAAAGCCTTGCCACTATCATCAAGTGTTTTAGATTTGGATTCCTCCCTACCCCCTGGAATGGTAGAGGGATGAAACTCTGAGGCCTTAGGGTTCAGTCCTGTGTGTTCCATATTTAATTGCTGCAGAACTTCAAACGTGTTGAACACATCCAAAGGTTGGGAGTTAGCAGGGTGTTTGTGCCCCTCATGAGTAGGTGGTTTAGGACTTGGATTTGATTTGGATATTTGGGAGGGGTGGTTTTAGGTGGTACTTTCGGCCATCAAGGTGGGGGAAGGTCCAACAGGACCAGGGTCGGGTTGTATGGTTTATGGGTGATGTATTCATTCCAAAAAGGATTAAAACACTTGGACATTATTCCACAGATTTGCTTAAGGACTCGAGGATCATTGTTGGTGGTCGGGGGTATATCACCTTCCAACCCTTGATTGCTCAAAAACTTCACATACATGTCAACCTGCAGTATGTATTACACTAGATGAGTGTTAATCATTCATTTAAGAATATATCTTGAAAGGAAACACCACATTTTAGATACACTTACAACGCTAGCTGGCATGCCTTCATATTTATCATCAGCTTTTGCCGACGATGAGGAAAGATCTAAAACTTCAACCTTATTCGCCTTGATGTTCACACAGACACAATAACACCACTTCAACTGCATTATTGGAAAGAAAATCTGCCAAACACACAAACATATACCATGTCATTCTTGTTCGTATTCTAAAAAGGTATAGCTATCAAACCAAGGAAGATTAACAAAACAGTTAAACATTCACATTACCATGTCTGCTGTAAATGGGGATGTGCATGAGCTCCCAGACTCTAATGCATCACAAAACAACAAAAACGCAGTACCTTCATCTGGTATTTCACCCTCAGATGTGTATAGCTGTAACACACACGGTGTCAGTGTCTCAAAGTCATTAAAAGGATCATTATATTCTCAAATGCAACACAAACTCTTACACATTTCATTCCTTTGGCAAAGAATCTCGCGTGCGACCCAATGCTACGGTACACTTCCTTATGATTCAAGATTGTAGATGATAAGTCCGTTTCGTTCTTATCATTTACATCATATTCTAAACGTTATTGCACGTAAATAGCATCTAATCATCTCATAAAATGTGATTTTAATGGATAAAACTCTCATTTTCGTTCTAAGAGTCATAAAATGGGATTCCACATGAAATCATCATAAATCATTCATTTTTGTTCAAGTATTTGAGAAAAAAGGAATAATGTTGGAAAACATTTTCACTTTGACATTTTGCTAATGACAATGTTTGTTTCCGTTTAGGTTTTGATATTGACAAACCGTCGGGAACATGGAACAAAATGAAAAGATTCAAAGAGATACAAAAAGTTCTTTGATGAAACAAAAAGCACAAGAAAGGCATTGACGTTGCTAAAGATGGCGACATTGGCGTTTTGAGGACGTATTCTAAAGACTTAGGTTTTATTGTAACAAGCTCATTCAATTTCTCTACGTCATGGCTCAAAACAAAATATGTTTTTCATGCATCAAATGAGTGTTTTCATAAATGGTTTTTAAGTTTCTAAAACCCATGGTTCTTGCTTAACCAAAACCATAACCATCGGTTATCGGCGTTCGGCTATGGCGTTCGGTTTTCGGCATTGGTTATTGGCATTGATTTTAACCAAATGGTTTTTGG